ATCTGTATACCTGAGATCACTAAAAACACCATTCCAGAATCCATACTTAAGATGCACCAGCATACTGATAACTGTATGGATTCATACTTTGCACTGGAATTGGAGATACACTACCAGTCAAAAGTTTTTGAACAGTAAGATTTTTAATGTTTTTTTTTTAAGAATTCTCTTCTGCTCACCAATTCTGCATTTATTTGATCCAAAGTACAGCAATACAGTAAAATTTTGACATATTTTTACTATTCAAATAACTGTTTTCTATTTTAATATATTTAAAAATGTAATTTATACCTGTGATCAAAGCTGTATTTTTAGCATCATGACTCCAGTCTTCAGTGTCACATGATCCATCAGAAATCATTCTAATATGCTGATTTGCTGCTCAAGAAACATTTCTGATTATTATTATTATTAATTATATTCAAATAGATAACAGTTATTTTAAATAGTAAAAATATTTCAAAATTTTACTGTTTTTGCTGTACTTTGGATCAAATAAATGCAGGCTTGGTGAGCAGAAGAGACTTCTTTAAGAAACATTAAAATTTTACCGTACATGACCATGAAACAGAATCTGAGGTTTACCTCCTCGTTGGGTGCCATGGCTCTGTTGGGGTGCTGGTCTGCGGTATCGCTACCCAGGGTTTTGTAGTAATCCCCAGTGCTGGGCTGCTTGCTGAAGCTACGGGACTTTCGATTAGAGTCCACTCTTCGAAGCCTTTCGTGGCCCTCGCCAGGATTCAGCTGCTGGAGAAATGAGCAGCACGTTTATAGTAATAGAAACAACATGAACATGCATGAGTTTACCAATCAGCCATTTAAAAACTTTTATTGATCAACCACTTCATCTCATCTGCAGCCCTCATCAGTGGTATTAGCTGTAAAACCCAATGAGAAATTGCCTTAAAACAATATTTATGAGTGCTGTGAATTTATTTCAGGAGTCCACTAAAAGTAGTTTTTTTTTAAATTAATTTACGCTATGAACTGTACTCAAATACTTTGTGTAACTAAAATTTGAACTGAAATTGAACTGAACTAAGCAAAAACATCATTAAAATTAGAGACATCAAATTAACTTGCAGTGGGTTTTGCAGTGCTTCAGTCCAAAAGAAGTGAAATAAAGCACATCCATCCATAATAAAAAGTGCCTCACACGGCTCCGGGGGTGAACAAAGGCCTCCTGTAGCGAATCGATGCGTATTTGTAAGAAAAGTAACCATATTTCTTCTTCTTCTTCTTAATGTTTAACGGCGGTTGGCATCCAGTGTAATTGGTGAATTACAATAACCATATTTAAAGCGTAATAATCAATTTAATCTAGCTTGTGCTCACTGTTGTACACGGAAGCAGCTCTGGGCGGATGACGTAGGACATCGGCGTTGCGCAACAGTCACGAATTAGAAGTACAAAACGAAGATTTGTAAAGAAGAATGTCGGAGGATTTCGATATAAGCCAAGAGGAGACTGGTTTTCCTTTGCTAAAGTAAGGAAACTTTGCTTCCTTTGCTCCTGTAAACAAACGTTAGTTTTCACGAGACTCACCGGCGCATGCGCAACGCTGACCTCATACGTCATCCTCCGTGTAGGACTGTTGGCGCAAGCTACAT